TATCAAGGGCCTAAAGTACGGCCGAGCGTAATAATAGCTTTAGAGAGAGTAGCCTAAAAAGGCGAACGCGCGATAGTCAGAATCACTGGTTCTCTATCGAAGTCAGTAGAACTTCACAGTTAAATACTTCTGCTCATTTGCATCCAAACGCGATTCTAAAAATACGTTCTGGCCTGAAGTTGTAAGCTTGAAATTAAAAAGCGATAGGAAAGTAACTCAAAATGTAACTGTCAGATAAATTAACATAATCCTTACAACATATATATACGTTGCAATAGTTCCTAAAGTCTAACAGTTATGAGCTGTTAACGATTCAGCCAATAACATTGCTGAAACTTGCAAACTAAAATCTTTAGCAATCAATCAATACAAGGTCGAGCCAAAATTTTATGAGTCTTATCTAGGTATTCTTATCATGATCTGTGCATTGCTACTAGCCTTTTGATACCTCCCATTTTTTCTTTGAATATATTAAGGATGTAAAAAGAGTCACAAAAGTAATAATCAAGAACGGGCACATATCTTGCGACGGCTTTGGTGTATACGTCAGAGAGCCTGCTGTCAGCAATAAAAGAAGCATAATCTGGCAACGACAGCTGCTACTATCTTTCCTGCATATTCCTCATCAACAGGTGTGTTACTAAATCTTTAAAAATATATAAAGTTTATATATTTAGTATGGAAGAGGGCTTCAGAAAAATATTATTTATCATTAAAGAATTTTTTTAGTATTACCTTCTAAAAGTGGAAAATTTTGACAAGTTCTAATATTGAGAAAGTTGGGTGTGATAACTTTAAAGGAAGGTGTTAGTGAAGGGTGGATATTAAAAAGTGATAATATAAACTTATGTTTAGTCTGAGAAATTTTATTACATTTTAACGAGTCATAACATTAAAATGCCATACATTTAACAATTAATTACTTATTTTAACGAGTCATTACAGTTAACGAGTCACTATTAAATGGAATATTATAAAAAGACCATTTGACGTTAGATTTAAGATGAATATGGCTATAAGAAATGGCGAACTTACTGAAAGCAAATGTAATATATATATTCATTGAAAAGTACTCTGAAACGTTCCATTAGGGGTATAAGAAAATTAAAAATATTAAGCTACTTTTCTCTTTTAACTATATACCCAAATTATTGAGATATTAGGTTTTAAAGAAGTATGAAACGTTAAAATTAACCTACATACTCGCCGATATTAGAAGCACGGATCTTCTAATACCGACTGAATGTGCTATTAGTTGTACTGTGAGAGGATGTAGGGGGATTGCAAGTATTTCTTACATTATCCTACACTTAGAAGGTGGCTGATGTTTAAACAAGATCCGGGCATCCAAATAGTGAAGAATAATATTATAGCCACTTTTTAAGTTCATGCATCATTGTAGCGAACGTCAGGATTTTTCCAAGTAGAAACTATAAAAAATCAGCTATGCCTTCAACGAGATGCCAACTACAGTTCGACCAATGCTAGTTTGAGGTGCTGCTAATTACACACTGAAAAAACACCGGAATAAATATAATTCCTTACAAACCGATATAGAATCACTAATGCAACTCCCACGTAAAAACAAATAATGTTAAATAATTCGCTTTAAAAGCATTAAAGCAGTAATAAAGAACGAAAATATTAATGAATGTGATAGAATTAAAATGATATTATATGTTACAAATTGCCTAATAATAATAGGTAACGCATAAGTAGCTTTGAATATTGATTATTTAATGCCTATGCTGTAAGTAACTGAAAATGCTCTTCTCCAAACTTTTGATCAACAATACTTAGTGAAATTTTGAAAACAGATGACCAAAGTTAGCAAAGGGATATGATATGTGGAAAAATATGTAGAATGGGGGGTATTACGGATAAAGTGTTCAGTTTAAAAAGGAAGAGCTCATTTAGAATGAATAAGTTCGGGCACATTTTTCGGGCAACTCTTCAATTTCTGTATTCTATTACATGTAAGAGATTGCTAAACTAATTTTATGGAAGGCATAAATTCTTTGGAAACAGGAAAGTGTTTGATAAGTCTTTTGAGAGCAACAAATAGTCGACATTCTTATGGTGTTTGTCACGTCTCTGACAACTGGTTTGCTGGGTATTCATTCGTGGCTTTATTTCCATACTATCGTAGGTGCTTTTCACAAATGACGGACAATTTCACCAAAGTGGGTATCAAAAATTGCTAACACGGAGTTCTGAATACCTTATATGTTTATCAAATATCCTTCGAATCTTTGCAAAAGTGGCGCCCCTACAAACCAAAGAAATATTGGGCTCAGTCTTTTAGACAAAGATGGATGTTGAGATCTTCTAAAGTAATAATTGCCTGCCATCGCTTTATGGCAAAAAAATGATCTCATCTAGATATAAATGAAAGGCTTTACTCCTGTATCAGTCTTGATGTGGACTCTCACGCAGCAGGTTTCATCGCAAAGATGTTAAACTTTTATTCTGATGCAATCATTTTTTAATTAATCACTCAGATATCTAGCTCTTATCAATCTTCAAGACAATCTCTCGGAACCTTTAAAATCACCTGTGCTATAAACACTACACATATCTTGGAAAATTTGAGAATAAAAATCATTCTTGCCATCTCAGTGTATAAATAAATTAGACAAAGCTTCATCGAACAGGGTGAAATATGTAGGCAAAGGCACTGAACGAGATGAACTTCATTTACAATGTATGCTGACGGCAAAACTATGCCTAGCATTTCCACGAATGCTCTACTTTTTAAATAAGCTTATATTAATATTTATCTAACAGTTCCAGAGTTTCTGAAAGCAAATGTTCTGAAATAAATTTTGATAATTATCTAGAATACCAGGCTCTTTATTATAAATTATATTCATTTGTGCAATTAAGTTAACCACATTTAATTAATTAAATGTGGTTAATCTCTGAATGCATTATCTACTGAATGTGGTTATCTCTGAATACATTATCTACTGAATATCTGAATATGGTTAACATGAGTATTGAGTATGTATTTTCAATATGGTTAATTTACTGAATATGGTGGTTACAAGAAAGAAATTAAAACTCATATCATGATAAAAATCAAAAGTGAATATTTAAGAAATTTCGAATTAACTTGATTTGTCACATTTAAAAATAATATAATATATGAGTATTTTCCATTTAACCAAAACAGATCTTGTTTTATATTGTCTCCAAAAATCTGATTTTTCCAAATGGATCAAAGAAATAGATACCTTCATTTCATTTGATTATAATTAAAAGTAATTGGGAATTTAACTTTTTAAATAAGCAGGTTGATTGGGAATAGGTAATTTTATTTCACTTTACTATAAGTCTGTTTGAGAAATAGGAGTTCCCTAATCTTGAAGTAGGTGTATTGTTTGCCGTTAATATGTAATATATAGCTCTAGCAAAAAAGTACCTATAGACAGGATTATGCATCGAGAACTGATGATTAAAAACGAAAAAAATCCAGAAGCCCTTTCTTCGCAAGTGTTGCAGCTGAACGTAACGTAAATACTTACGTTTTTTTCTATGTGTCTAAAGCGTAGGTGATTCTCAAAATATCATTCGGAAAAACATAACATCTTTATTTTATCTTTCAGATTTATTTCATTTGCTATTGATTAACAAACTGAAAGATTTAAAAACAATAAAGACGCCCATTAATAACTGAAGTTTTTTATATTTCTGAAAATTTATCTAATAACTGTAAATTAAAATGCATTTATTTTATAATATTCTAACTGATCATTTTTATGAGCGCTTGTAGATTTGCTATAAGCAATAAAAATATTTCTAAAACTAAGTGTTATGTAGTTCGTACATAATCATTTGTCTTCCTAATGTTTACGATGTTTTGCATACGTTAAAGTTTTTAATAGATTTTTAGTTTTTTGAAATTTTTATTGATGATTCTTTGAGGTGTAGGCTATAATAAAAATTTCAGACTTTCATTTTATTCAGTAGTAGAAACAAAACTTTTAATGTTCATTTATAATTTGATGTTGAGTTTTCGTAAATAATTTATATTAATTAATAATAGGAATTGAAATGGTAATTAATTGATGTTATCCATCAACTGATCAGGTACTAAAATAATCAGGAATTTTATTTGGTTCAACGCAGTTTAAGAAACGTATCTTTACCAAACAAGGGTATAACGCCTAGAAAGAGAAGAAAAATTAAAAAAGGAAGAAACTATTTTTTTGATGAATGAAAAATACAAAAGATTATTAATTTATTTAATTAGATATTTGTTTTTGCTTATTTTGATCAAGATCTTACCATATTTCAAAGGAAAGCACTGAGTGTCTCAAAACTGCATTGTACTGCTTTCGTACGAGTTCGACAAAAAAGTGTGTACTTTTTCAAACCTGTATTATCCTGAAAGGGAACCTAATAAACTAAATTTTCTGATAAAATCTGTCTTGTATGAACACAAATAATTTCAGAAAATTTTATTAGTTAATTATTCAAGAAAAATGAAATATTATAATATAGCGAAACCCCTCTAAAAGGAAAACCCGCAGTTCAAGACGATTTGGGTGTTTTATTCATGAGGCAATTTTATAGAACATAAGTATCGTTGCAGTTATCTGCGATTTTCAGTACCATTATTCAATTATCTTCTCAAAAATACTTAAAATGTAATTATACTGGAGCGGTTTTACTGCATTTTGAAATATAAAACTGAAATTTTATTTTAATTAAAAGTAAGCTCATAATATTTTTTTATTAAAAACTAAAACATTCCTAATTTCAAAAACTATCTTCTGAAATGTTTTAAACTTAACTAATGTAAACAATGTACACAAATTATTGTGTTACTGAAAAATAATTAAATTATCAAAATATTTTGAATACATTGGAACATTCTGGCTCGTTCGTAATTTATAATTAAACTGCAATATCTACCTATAATTTTCATAATTATATGTATAAGAAAGAACTTCTTTGCCTTACAGACGAATTAATGAGACAAATAAAGTACTTACAGAACCGTATCGCTGCATCCACAAATATAATGAAACCAGGCGTGTCCAAATTTCTTAATCGAATTTCTCATGGCTTAAAACGTAAACCGTAAAGATTCTGAAACCATAAAGATTAACAAAATCATTCATTGTGAAAATTCTAAGATAAAAATATTTTATGAGAATAAACATTGAGTTATTTTTTAACACAATTACTTAAAATGCCAATAAATACTTCTATTTATTCACATGATATGTCCCAACTCCCAGGAGAAGTTAAACTAAATTAAAAAAAAATAACTTAGCCTTTGTAATAATTTATAGCTTTTACTTGAATACGTTTCTAAAGTATTCTAGGCACTAAAATTTCTATTTAAATTTAAGTATTAACAATTAATTAAATATAAGTGGAAAATGATTGTAAATTTGCAGCCATCGTAAATGGGGCAACAAAAACATATTATGTACAAGCGTATTAACAGAATTTACGTTATAAATTTTGTTGCATAATATTTAAAGTACAGTTTTCCTTCAATATAATATTGAAACTAGAAAAAGTTAAAGTGTCATTGAAAAAGTTCCTTCTATATATCTGCACTACAATTGTCGTAATAAGAAAATCGAAAAAACTACTTGCACCTATATTTAATTGTGAACTTAAAAAACCATTACGCGTTTCAATCAACAAATCTCTACATATAATAAAATAAAGAGTCTGTTTGTGCGTGTGTCTTTCGTTTGCCCTGCGCGTAAGCTAATAGACCCACGGCTACGAAATTTGGTACATAGGTGCATCTAGACAAGAGCCAGTGCACCTCGAATTTTTCGAAATTCGAATTCGAATTATTTTTTATTTTATGTTTTTTGACGAAATCGTATCATTTTGAGACATAATGAGCTATAGGAAAGCGAGAGTTTATTCTGCACACTCCATTTTCACATCGTCATGGAACATAGGCACTTAGCTATTTTACGAACTTGAAATAAATCTCGTGTTTCAATAAATCGCTTAAATACGAATTTGTTTAACAAAGTGAGCTTAACACCTTTTCAACGGGATTTTTTCTAAAAATGTTATTTTAAAAAATATACAGTTTATTTTTCTTTGATTTTTGGACACGTTAAACTTTCATCCTTGCGATTGCTTTTACAAAAAGAATTTTGGAAAAATGATAATATTTTGTATTTTAAAAAAATTTAAATGAAGCTTCCGAGTACACTTCTCACAACTCACATCATTAAAAATGTAAATTTGGCAACATTTTCCTTTCTTTTTCTTGTTAATAGTTTTTTGATGAAATCGCATCATTTTGAATAGTTTCATTCTTTTAGAAATATGGGTTTGGCAACAATTTTTCATCTTATTTCTTATGTTACTGTTTTCAAGAGATTGGCAAATTTCAATGTCGTTTTTTTATATATATATATAATACATTTCTATTTATTTATTTATTTTTTTTGATAAAGTTGTTCTGCAGAGTAAAATTTTGCGCGGAATTTTTTGTTTTTGAGTTTCTTTCGTTATTTTTTGCTCATTTCACTGTTGTAAAGATATTGAAAAGTTTTGGCATGATTTTTTTTCTTCAACGGAAAGTTGGTTAATTTGTTATTAGGATAATTAATATTTGTATTAAGGGATATAGCTTATTTCATTGCAATTTTTTTCTCTTGAAAATATAAAATAAAATATCATTAATTATACTTTGCTTTTCAGAATTTTTTGTTTTTTTGTATTCTTTTATGTTATTTATTGCTCCTTTCACTGTTTTTAAGATATTGAAAGGTTTTGAGTGATTTTTTTAGGAAACAATGTTCTTAACCTCCTTTATACTATTTGAGTTCTTAAGATTTTGCAAAGGGAAGTTGGTTAATTTATTTATTAGGATAATTAATATTTGTATTAAGGGATATTGCTTATTTCATTGTAATTTTGTTATACGTAATAATTTTTTTTATGAAGTTGTTCTGCAGAGTAAAATAACTTATAAACGTATAAAGACAAGTACTGTATTTCAAGGGTGTACTATATTGTTATGCTGAAAAAAATGTTAATCGATTTAATTGATGCAGAATTGTGATAAATTTGCACAATACATAGATATAATATGATATATACCTTTTTGCTTCTGAAATGATCGTTGGTTTTACTTAGAGTTGACTTTAGTTTTCCCTTTAAAGAGAGAAAAAAAAGAGTAAAAGATAAAGATGGTGTGGGGGAAGTGAAAGGGGATAAAAACGAAGGGGAGCTGCGCTTCCGGAACTTTTCTGTACTATTTTCTTGTCCCAGGGACATACGAAAAAATCCGTCGCCGCCATTCTTTAATCCCAATGAAGAATTTTTTTTTAATGTTTTTGTTTACCTTTCTTTCTGCTTCTGCAATCTTAAAATTTTTCGTATTTCAACCCAGGCAGAAGGCTGAAAATGGGGAAATAGTTGTCTCTTCTTGATTTGAGAAATTCAAACTTTTTGTGAGAAAGATTTGAGGCAATTTTTCTCTCATCGAATGCATTCCGAATTCAGCTGGAGACTTGAATTTTCAAAGCTATGAATGTGTACAAAGATCAGTATGTATAGAAGCGTAATTCTGATAATACCTTACCTTCTTATAATTCCTCTTAATAATCAGTATAAATGATAAGTATCATCACTTTAAGTATCGTATAAGAATTTATAATTATTCTATCTAGGTATTTTTGTAATTCTTATCTTCTTACGGTCTCAAATTTCTTAACAAAGATGTACTCATAACATAACATTAGGGCGAATATTTTGCTCCCATATAAATAATTTTTAAAATTTGGCATAAAGTTATTTTAACCAAATGCATATTTAATTTTTTAATGCAAAATGCTTATTAATTTACAAAGAAATGTCTTCCGAATAAGAATTGGTTTCGTTTCGGGAAGAAATATATTCTTTTGTGTATTTTCCATCGAATAAAATTTATTCCTTCCCGGTAAGAGAAATAAATTTTCTTTCCTGAAAAGTGCATAAAGTAAATTTTAGATTTCACGATAAAATGAATTTTATTAATGAATTTTCATGAAGATAAGTTCAAATTAATGAACTGTGGCCAGTGTGAAATCAGACAAAGAAAAACATTTTGCCTAACTTAACATTTTAGATAGCTGTTTCTCCTCTTCTCTTTATAAGCTCAGTGTAATTAAGTATTTTTTACTTTGATCTGAATTTATTTCAACCGAAATTTCCTTTATATTTGCGTTGAAAATGTAGTCTTCATAGAGGCTATTTTATGATCATCATAGATATTTATCTTTCCTACACATAAGAAAAAAAAGGCAAGCGATCAGTAGATGGATCATTCCCTTCCCATTAACCAACTGATACGAAAGTCATTAAAGCATTCAATGAATAACATTCGGCCGAAAATTAAGCTTAAAATTCATTAACTATTACTTCGTTTGTCGAAAGATAGTTAAATATTGCCGACATTTAATTTATGTACATAGCTATTTATTAAATAAGGTAAGGAATGATTATTCTTAATCTGTAATATTAATATAATTAAGAAACATATTCCTCGTTTTGAGATGATTAATTGTTAACTCTCACATTAAACTCATTTGAACAAATATATTCTTCCTGCATTTTTAAAACTCAATTTTAGGAATTCAAATATTCCTAGGTATGTTTTTGGTAGTTTAATTTGACGATTAGAAGCAAAAGAAAAGTTACTTAAAATGTAATGATCAAAACGATTTTAATTTTACGGTAACTTAAGTGCCATTTATAAACATTGAGTTTTAGATTACTCGTAAATGGATTATCCGTGCTTTTGTCTCTTAAAAAAACGTTCTTAGAGATTTCGGAAAAATAATTAAAAACTTGTGACTATTTGGAAGAAACCTACAATTTTTGATCATGCGAATCAAAATTTTTATGCGCTGTATTTATTAATAGCGTAATATTATAATTTATTAGTATTAAATTAATATATAATTAATATTATAATTTATTAGTATTAAATCAATATTATAATAATATTTAATTTATTAATATATATTAATTATAATTTATTAGTACTTGAAACATAAAACTATTGCGAAGCGCCTTTTTGCTTTTAAACCACACAGTGTTTCTCAGCAGCAGAAGCAGTAAACTGTAAAATAAATTAAAGATCTTCTGTCTCTTTGAATGGCAATATTCTAAAAGCTGGCCATCACTCAATCGTCATGGATGACAGATGTAGAGGTTACTAAGATAATGTAAAGGCCTGAAAACGGAAAAGTTTCGTTATAGTTGCTTCTTATGACCGGAATATATACATGATTAAAAGTATACCTTTACCGATTTGAATTACTCCTTTAGCTTAGTTATACAACGTTGCAAGTTTTTTTCTGTGCAAATTAACTTAAAGTCTTTAAAATCCTATTTAGACTAACAAGCGAGTTATTGCTCTGTCTGTGAAAGTATTACAAGGTACTACAAAGCTTTCGAATAACTTTTTTTTTATTAAAGCTTGAATTTAACAAAATGCACACTAATTGCATTCAATTTAAACTCTGCCACTTTTGGTTAGTAGCTAACATAAACTTGAATTTACAATTTAAAATGGATTCGCAGCTTGAGACTAGAGTATAACTGGCCTAACGAAGTGTTGGATCAAATTTAATTGCACGATCTGATTTCGGCTGGTAAAATGGCTGATGCCGAAATACTAATAGCTTGGCAAGGGAAAGTACAACTGGCCAGAATCGCTGTTAGAAAGTTTATATATAAGATTTTCAAGAGCTTCGCTTTAAATACACTTATTTATGTACTTTATGGTAACAAAAACGAGAAATGAAAGATAGCCATAACAAAATTAGTTAATTAACATAAATCATACAACATCTCTAGTTTAAAAAATGAAAAAAAAATTAATTAAAGCTCTTAAGCCACGTAGAATAGTAATACCTTTGAGAACTGGAGATTACTAAAACACGTGCGTGTCTTAAGCTTGAACAGAATTTTAAAAATCTAAGCTTAATTCAAAGTTAAAAAAAATCCTATACCTAGGAGTGTAAAAGTAGGAGCATTCTACCCATTAGGCATCATATAAATTGGTGCTCAGGTGTCTGAATGTAATATAAATGAGAAAGTACATTGCTGTGAAT